CATTGGCACCTCTTTCCCTTCTGGCAAACTTGAAATTAGTTTGTCGTGTAGAAAATGAAGGAATGCTTATTTCCTGATGATGTGAGTTCATAAAAGTGAGTTTTTTCCCAAAGCTCTGAGGATTTGAATTGAGAACTAGAAACTACCTCAAGTATCCATCATTAAGGGAATGATCAAATGGATTATAATAAATAGATAATATTGAGTAATCTTCACTTATAAATGTATTTTTACTTTGACTATTTAAAACATACCAAAAAATCACATCATAAACACTGAATACAGTCTAATGATGTTAATGTTTCCAGTTAAGATCTTAGGTTTTTTGTACATATTTACATATATACATATATATCCATAAAATTCCTCATTTTATTATAAATTATATGTTAATCTAAAACCTGGGACAACCATTCTCAGTCTTCTCCCTTCTTTTGAAATGGTAACTTCTAAAAATAGATTTTGGTGTATAAAGGTCTATGTGAGTTTACTTTGGTATAATAAAAATATCTTTGAAAAATAATACTTCTTTGTTCATTTTATCAATTTGCATTCTGTTCTGTCGTATTTGCTTTACTTTACATGTGAAGGTGTCAAAACGAGGTCAGTACACATACACCTAGTTCTACGAAGATACCAGTTTTGCACTAATACAAACAGTTGTGAGGGGGACATCCTTACTGGTGTCTGGATGCATTATGTGGAAGAGTTTCTCTAGGTGTTTATACACTAAAGCACAAGTGCCATAATGTTCCAATATCAATATTTATGGCCAAATTATACTCAGCAGAAGATATTTTCCTAATATGAGCTGTACTTTCATTAATCACCTAGGGAATTAAAATTCACATGCATACATGCACACAACATGCACACACACACACATATTAGTGGCACAAATCTACAAAAAAAGAATCTGATTTAACTATTTGACAGTGTTGATACCATGCACAGACTAGGGGGCTTCAACAACAAAAATTTATTTTCTCACAGTTTTGGAGACTGAAAGTCCAAGATCAAAGTGTCTGCAGGTTTGGTTTCTTCTGAGGTCTCTCTCTTTGCTATGCTGATGGCCATCTTCTCCCTGTGACCTTACATGGTCTTTCCTCTGTGTGCCTCTTTGTGTATCCAAATTTCCTCTTCTTCAGCTTCATTTTCTTAGATTCGAGTGCATTGACTCTGGCTTGGGTTTTGGTTTATACAAGCTACCAAAGGCACTAGATCCACCTCAGTCTAATGGCCTCCTTGTTGAACTATTTTAGCACCTGTAAGAATCTATTTGCAAAAAGTTTCCTCCACCCACTTTAAAAATGTTAGAAAGGGGCAGGCCCAGTGGCATAGTGGTTAAGCTTGCGCGCTCTGCTTTGGTGTCCCGGGGTTCGCAGGTTCGGATCCCAGGCATGGACCCACACACTGTTTATCAAGCTGTGTTGTGGCAGGCGTCCCACATATAAAGTAGAGGAAGGTGGGCACGGATGTTAGCCCAGGGCCAATCTTCCTCAGCAAAAAGAGGAGGATTGGCAACAGATGTTAACTCAGGGCTAATCTTCCGCACCAAAAAAACACAAAAGTTAGAAAATAATTTGATTTACTTACATCTGGACGACAGTTTTAAGTGTGGACGGCACCTATCAATTAAACACACAAACTGCTGGGTAGAACAGTCATCAGCAAGCTTCTCTGCATGGCCCAGATGAGCTCTCCAAATCTTTGGACACAAATGTATGACCTCATGCCTGAGGCAGCCGACAGCGGGGAGTGATGAGCCCAGAAAGCAATCTGATATATTCCCCAGAAAGATCCCAGAGCCAGCAAACTATCAAAACTGAAAGCTGCAGGTAGAAAATCAAAAGAAAGAACTAGGGAAGCCCTCCTGTTGACACACACAACTATACTGGAAGCTGCAGAACGTGAGAGGAAAAGACCAGGAAGACATGAAGAGTAAGTTTCAAGGTAATGATTATTATTGATAGACAAGCATAAATGGCATTCACTATAAGAAAATATGCTCAGGAAGCAAATTAAAAACGCTAAGGAAAGTTACAGGGAAGATGAGACAAGACAGAACTCAAAAAGTTAAGTCCAGATTAACGATAGGGAGATAGCTTCTGGATAGAATGTTCTTGCTCCTGAAGGGGACTAGATTTGTCTGTACAATGGAAGTTTTTAGCAGACTCTAAACTCCCTGACTTTTGTTTGGGTATTCACCCTCCCCTTCCAGGGCACATTCTCAGAGAAGGTTATACAATCTGCAGCCCAAGAAGGACAGATCTTGATTAATCTACATCAATTTCATTTACCCTCCCAGAGAGGGAGCTGGGAAGGGGCATGTGCCATACTTCTGACCAATGAGAAGTCTATGAGGGGTTTCTGAGAAAGGCTGCCCACCAATAAAGGAGACAACTAAGAGGAAATCCTCCCTCTTCTGCTGTTGGAACTATAGCAGTCACCTTTCAACCATAAGGGGAGCAGCCTACACAACAAGGTAAAGATGGCAGAGCAGAAAAACAGAAACAACCCTGAAGCCACTCCACCTCAGGACTTCTTGTCATATATATAAAATATAAATTACCTTATTTTTTAAAGTCCTTTAGGTTAGGTTTTCTGTTACATGCAATTAAATATACATTACTGATATAGGCAGGTGGGCATATGATCCAGCAAACAGCATTAGACCAAAAGCAAGAGAAGATCCGAACAATTCAAGCAGCAGGATAAACTTTCAGAATTCAACTGCACCTGCTTCAAAGGAATAGGGAACAGACGAAAACTGAATACCAAGGGCACAGCCCACGGCTACAGGGAAAGAGGAGACAGAAAGGTATGTTTCTGGCACTAATGAAGTCATACAGGTTATTTAAGGCCTAGAAAATTTCAAAAACTGGAGTACAGGAAAAGGGGAGGAGCAGTGAGGAATGGTGGGGAAGGCCCAGAATTCAAGAGCTAAAAGGAGTAAGAAACGATGTCTCCCAGAGCACAAGCAGAAAAGCAGAGCCAGACTCATGAAGTGGAGAAAAGCAAGCCTGAAGAACAAGAATCTGGCAGTTCAAGGAAAAAGTATCCTGACTTCAGGACTTGAATAGCTGGTCTGTGTGGCAGATGCAGCCATAGCTCAATGTCATTAACCATTAATATTCAACTCATTTTCCTTGCTTAGGTTTGTGCTCCCAAAAATACTTCTGATTATTTGATTCCCCACATATATCTCCCAGCGGGAGAAATGAATGACCAGAGAAATTACAAAACCAGATATCTGAAACTTACCAGTTTATAATGAGCACTGTAGTTGGCATTTATTTTGGTTTAAACATGTCTTCTGAGAGTCTGGTTATAATAAATCATACCCTTTTGCACGTGATTTGACAAAACTGGAATTTCTAGCCCCATAAAGCCAATAGGCTGTGGTAACTTTCCTAAGGTATAGACATCCTAGATGACATCTCCATTTCATATCTAAAGCAATGATTTTCACCCACCCCAGAGTCATATCAGAACAGAGAACACATTTTAAACACATACCCCCCACCCAACCCCTCCCAATCCCCATTTAAGAATTACTACTATAGTGAGCTGTAGTGGTTAAGATTCAGTGCTCTCACTGCCACAGCCTGGGTTCGTTTCCCAGTCAAGGAACCACAACACCTGTCTGTTGACTGTCATACTGTGACAGCTGTGTGTTGCTGTGATGCTGAAAGCTATGCCACCGATATTTCAAATACCAGCAGGGTCACCCATGGTGGACAGGTTTCAGCAGAGCTTCTAGACTAAAACAGACTAGGAAGAAGGACCTGGCCACCCACTTCCAAAAAAATTGGCCATGAACACCCTATGAATAGCAGTGGAGCATTATCTGATACAGCACCAAGTAAGACAATGGCACAAAAAGACTGGGCAGGGTTTTACTCTGCTGTACACAGGGTCCCTAGGAGTCAGAACTGACTCAACAGCACTAACCGTAGTAAGCTATAGTTACTACTGGGAGTGTGTTGCATCCTTCCAACATACTAAGGAGGAAGGAAAGGTTAAGTACTTTGATTTAGGCTGGGTTCCCCCAGAAGCAGACTCTAAAGTAGTTGAGTGTAACTGATGTGATTCCAGGATGCACTAGTAGGGAAGCTGGGATGTGAGACAAGAGAAGGAAGCACAGGGTGCATTCATAAACAGATTACCACTGTGGGTAATTATGCTTAGTTCTGCTGGGGACCTCTAAAAGATGGCATGGAAACCATTAGCCCACTCACGCGGTAACTCAAATATTCAGTTGTGTCATTTCTCTGGTCAGCAAGGAAGCTGGGTATGCATCCTCTAATTCCCATTCACTATTAGTTGAAAGCCGCTCCGAGGGGCATTAATTCACAGCACTGCAAGCAGATGCTAGCAGCAGGACTCCTGTTGGTGGCATGTGTTGGACTGGTGAGTGCCCAGGGGATATGGGTGGGGCAATGACACCTTCTATTACACACCTAATGGCTCCTGATTGGCTTCTCTCCCCTTTGGCTCTCAGCAGTTCACCTTATTTTTTTTTTTTTTT